AAGTCCTAAGCAACTTAGCAAGACCCTGTCTAAAATTCAAAAATAAAAAGGCCTGGGGATGTTGCTCCCTGGTTAAGTGCAGCTGGGTTCAACACCTGCTACCACCCCCTGCTCCCCCTCCAAAAAAGAAAATCATCCTCTGAATTGGGGAAAACAGAAATCCCTGGAAATCATTAGGATGCTACTCCCTAATTACAGGGGAAAACAAAGAATGGATTGGATTAATTTTGAAAGTGGACAACACAAATTTCACCCCATTTGGGTTTACATTTTGAATACGTTGCCTGACAAAACTTTCATCCATGTAATTGTAATAGGACTCAGAAATGAGTGTTGAAATTGTTTGCTGCTTCTTACATGTTCTTTAAATATGTTATATTTTAAGGTTTACCACATTGATTTTTAAATGCCTGACCATTTCCATCAATATGAAGTATTTTTAATATGTTAATGTTTCTAAAAGAAAAGGTACTTATTTGTGTTGAAGAGAAAAAAAATTAAAGAGATTTTATTCATCAGGTTTTCAGTTTTTTTCCACCATTGCTGGGGATCAAACCTAGGACCTTGCACTCAAATATTTTGTATGCAGATAGCTTCTGAATTACATACACACAATGTATGCATGGCTTGTATATACTAATCACTGTTTTCTTTGTATGTGACTTATACAACTTCATGAGTCCTTTACAAAAGACCTTGGAAATTTTTATCAACAAATATTTTTCTATGATTCTAGTTTAATACCGGGTATTAAAAAATTATTCATTTCTTAATTGCTATCACATTATGGGCATTTTAATTTGAGAATTAGGCAAAACATTGGTTTAATTATTTTTCCCCCTCTTATTGTTTCTCTTTTGTCAGTAAATGGAGTCCTGGTTTCATAGTCATAACAGGCCTGGAAGCAAAAATTGATTTTCGGTATTAATATGGAGATTGTTAACATATCTTCATTTTGCTTTCTTTTCCCTATCAAATGAATAATTTTGTTAACCAAGTTCTTATATTGCTACAAATTCTTAGTTCTTGATATATATAATTTTTTTTTTTACTAAGGATTAAGTCATTTACTCACTGTTGGATGTAAAGCTGAAGTGCAGAAGAATAAAAGCCCAGCATTTACAAGTATAGCTACATTTGTAACTGAATCAATACTAAAGAGAATAATTGGTGATTTTATCATAGCCTCACATATAGCTTTACTCCTGGAGTTACATTTGGGATGAAAACTCTAGGAAGCACAAGTAAATTCAGGATTTTTGAAGCTTGAACTATTGTAAGCTTATGGTTTAAGGACTTTATAATAGTGGTTGGCAAAGGGGACTGAATTTTGTTAAGCTTGTTTTGGCTGGTGAAGAAGATTTTTCAATTCTGTTTTGATAAACAGCTTTGTGAAATCAATGAAACTTGATGGCTTAAGTATTGTCTTGTATACGTTGCCTGATTGTAAAATCGATTGACAAATGGAAGTTGTGAGGCATTCAGGGGAGGCCTCATGAAGAGAACTATGAATGATTTTTATGCGTCTATCCAAACTAATTCTTTAACAATCAGGCCTGTCTTCCAAGATAAAAGTTCTGATGAATATACTATCGATTCTACATAGTTTGAATCAAGCATAAATATAAATGAAAGGCTTACAGAGGAAAAAAAATACCTAAATTCAAAAGCATATATTAAAAACTCAAAGATTAGAATGTTTAGTGAAAAAAAAATGTTCTGATGTGTCAGATTTTCTGTTTATTGGAAGATCTTAATTTTGCTGAAATATATTTCAAAACATACTTATTCTGATTTTGCATTTTAATAAGGTATATACAAAACACAGCTGATCATTTGTTGAACAGTGGGAATTCTTTTTGAATTAAAGGTCATTTTCTGAATATCAGTTTTAATTATTTTAATATCAATTAAACTAACATTGTTTAATTATAATTTCTTGCAAAGCATTGTGTTTTATAGCTCAGCAGATACAAAATAGTTATAAATTTATTCAATCTGTCTTCAAAGAGTTTATAGCATTTTGTGGGTATCATGATTATGAGTAGATTATTGCAACACAGAGTAGGATATGTCCATTGTGAGAAATTTAAATTCAGTTCTAAATATTTGAATCATACAGATATTTGGATTAATTGAACAGTGAGTATTTACCAAGAACTTAAGGTCAATAGGATATAACTTATTTAGAATTTAATCCTTCCTAAGTGTAGTGTTTTATTGATTAGGACCAATGTCACCATTAACTTAATGGTAATGATAAAGTGACAATTTACAACATTAATTAGTTGAAAATCCTGCAGACTGCAGCAGTTTATTTCTCAGCTCTCTTTAGGATGTGTCCCTTTAAAGATGATCCAAGATGATAGTCAACCTCTAGCTATCACATCTGCATTCTTGGCAGAAGGCTAGAGGAGAACATGAAGAAGTAAGGTGGCAAAGTCAGACTCCAACCCTGTTTTAAATAAAGTCCCAAGAAGGTGTCATACAATATATACAACTTAGTCTCTTGGTCAAACTTACCTCCAAGCGAGTAGAGAAATCAAATCTTTATTTTTAGTGGCTACATGCCAGATGAAAATTGTACAGTTGATTACTATCAAGGAATAGGAAAGTGATAAGAAGATTCTAGAAGTCTTTGCTATATCATCTATCATCATAACTCTACAAAAAAATTGCTTTCTCAAAGGCAGCAAATAATTTCCAACATGGTGTTTGAGGGGCTTGAAACTGAGGAGGGAGAAAGAGAGAACAGATTGGAGGTGACAGGAAGATAGGACTATAGAAAGAAAGGAAGTGATTTTTAACACTTACTTCTATGTGGGATTTCAGAGAGAAAAAAGTCTGAAGACTCTGTATTGTTTTCCTAGAGTTGCCATAACAATGTGCTACACCCTAGGTGACTTAAGACAGCACTATTTCCCCACTATACTGGAGTTTGGAAATCTGAAAACAAGGTTTCAACAAGAACATATTCTCTGAGACTGTAGGTTGGATTCTTTCCTTTTTCTCTTTAACTTCTGGTGGTAGTTTGGAATCTTGGCATTCCATCACCTGTTGCTGTATCACTCCACTCTGTCTCTGTGGTGACAGGACTTTCTCTCTGGGTGTCTTTGCATTCATATAGTATTTTCCTCTTTTGAAAAGGACATCAATCTTACTGAATTTAAAGCTCACTCTAATGCCCTCAACCTGAGTACATGTACAAAGACCTTATTTCAAAATATACTTAATTTATTAGTCAGCTTTCCATTACTATAACAAATGTCTGGAATAGCTTATAAAGAGAAGAATGTTACTTTGGTTCACGGTTCCAGAAGTTCTAGTCCATACTTTTTTGTCCCTGTTTCTTTTAGGCCTATGATGAGACAATACATCATGGCAATAGTGCATTGCCTGATAAAACCATTCATCCTGGGGCCAGAGAACAAAAACCAAACAGAGAACTAGGCTGGCATGTCACAATACCCTCTTTGGACATGTTCTAAGTGACCTAAAGACTTCCAACTAGGCCTTACCTCTCTTCAAGTTTACACTGTCTCTCAATTGCACTATGGACTGGAGAATAAGCTACTAACACATAGATTTGTGGGGGGACATTTATCCAAATCAATTAGTCACATTTATAGGTACTAGGGTTAGACATCAACTTATATTTCAGGGGACATAATTCAACTTTAAACAGAGCATATCTATAAATTTAAAAAATCTAGACTAGAAAATGTGTGTTTTGTTTTTGTCTTTATAATGAACTTCCATTATGGTTAAAAATCTGCACTGTCCTTAAAGACTTTTGGATTAAGGGTTTTTTTTTATTTTTGATGTGTTTGTTGGAAAATGAACTTTAAGATAGTTCTAATTATTAGGAAACACCCATCTAGATTTGTTTTCCTCCTTTACTGAAGTTAATCCCCTTGAACACAGTAAGCATCAAGACTTCTCTGTCATTTCTGTGTGTATGACACACAGATTACACATCATGAGTTCATTCCTCATCTCTGTTTTCAGTGCTTTAAAAATGTACTTGTACTTTTTAATCTTGCCTTGAATTCAGTATGATATAATTATGTAACTCACTTAAAAAGTTTAATTTATAATTTAACTTCTCAAGCTGCTATTAAAAAATCTATATTATAACATTTTTAGTCTGTTGAAGATTACGGTCAGTACATTAAAGGGCAATAAGTGTGTACAGGAAGGAATATGGACCCCATGAGATGTAACAACTAAAAATCTGTCTCTGGAGACAAAAAGATATCACACACACACACACATAAACCCCCAAACCACACATGTGTGTATATATATGTGCTCTTGAACAGACTCAAGACTCCCTCCATGAAAAATGGCAAATAGAGGTAATTGATTATCTGTTTATTATACTTCAGAACATTCATGAATATACAGTGATGATCCAGTTATAACAATAAAAGTTATATTTTGTTACATATCTTGTTTTTAGTACATACTTAATCAATCTAAATTGCTTAACATGTTTTTTACAAGAGCGTTTTGAGATCTTCCAAAAGCATTTCTTAATAATCTAAAAAAATTGCTCAGCAGCTTATTTTACAAAGACAATAAATTCTATTTTAAAAATATTACTTTTATCTTCTCTTTATTTTGATTTATTTACATATGTCCAATTACTCCATTAGAAAATAGAGTAAATTACAAATCCTAACGTAAACCATGTTTAAATGAAATTAAATATATTTACTTGCTTGATATAGTCACAGCAAGTGAGATTATTCTATCTCCTTGCTTTGTGTTCCTGGGGAACCTGCTCCTTCTTACTGTCTTGGTTAGCATACGTAATTGAGGAATATAAATATGAAGCTATTTATTCATGTGTGGGTTTTTGCCTTTTAATGACATTCAGAATACTTTCATTTGGGGAGTTGGAATTGGCTGTTGTGAAATGATTTGGAGGAAGACATCATCATTGTGCGTGTAATGTAAAGGTTATGTAACTTTACGTGTATCTTTTGTCTTTGCAGTGTGTGCAGGAACAGAGAATAAACTGAGTTCCCTCTCTGACCTGGAACAGCAGTACCGGGCCTTGCGCAAATACTATGAGAACTGTGAGGTAGTCATGGGCAACCTGGAGATAACCAGCATCGAGCACAACCGGGACCTCTCCTTCCTGCGGGTAAAGCTGTCTCTTTCTTTCTCTTCTCTTCTTTATGAGACGACAGTGGTGTCATGATGTGTAAAGGGAGACCTGCTGGCTTGGACCTGAGAGCTATGCTTTCTTGTCCGGCAGGGTTTGTGACTAGGGGAAGAAGATAAGATACAGAAGCACACCCAGGAAAAGAACAAGAGTAACAATGACATGATGACTGACACCTTGAGTTACAGCAGTTACTGCTGCCATGAGATGGATAAAAGATTCTGTCAGGGTGTAGTACATGACATCTTGCAAGTCTGTCTTTTTCTGACAGGCTGAGGACTAGGAGAGTCAGAGGACCAATCAGATAAGAATTGGTGACTTTAACCAATCACTTCCTTTTCTGTTCCATTCCTGTCACTTTGGACATTTTTAGACTCTTTTGTATTACTATAAGAAAACTCAGATTGTTACCAAAAGTGGGGAGGGTGTTTGGTTTTGAAACCCAATAAATTTCTTAAAGTAATCTCATGGGACATTGAAAATACTTATATAGGTCATGTATGCATACATATAATGTGTAAAGATGAAGTTATCCAGAGACAATCTATCCTTTGGAAATTTCTTTTGGCCTTTTTTTTTAATGTTACTCTGTTAAACAAGCTATTAAATGCTAACACCTACAGTTTTTCTTTAACTAGAATAGTTGCAGGAAAATCTAAAATTAAAATGGACTGTACAAGGTGATCTGGGAATGTGGTTTTTGCACAATGAAGAATTTATTATTAGAGAAGAATTATTAAGATACATTTTAGATAACATTCCACTACATATTTGGAATTATTTTCAACAATATTCAATATATCTTAGGAGTATTGTCTAGCATAAATCAAGATGATAATATTCCCAATACTGATATGGTAAATTATTTAGTGGATATTATATTATTTAGAGAACTATGATAATTTTAATAGTTTTTTTAAACAAGAAATAAAAATGATATTTAAACATTGTATGTTTGACATAAATGATATTTAAACATTTTATATATATATATATATATATATATATGGGGGCAGGCTCTTGTTCAAAAAGGGAATATACACAAGCTGTTCTAGCTAATATAAAAGAAACTCAATGGAATTCTGGAAGAAGGGAAACTAATGGAGAAAACTGAATTGTGAAGCAGGGCAAAGAAGTCGTCTATATAGTATGTTAGATTGGAGCAATATTAGAAAATTCAAAAATGCAATATAGAGACTTTTGCTTTTCTTCAGGTGTGTGTTTGCTTTGTCTTCTGCATGTGTACCTAGACTTCTTGGACAACCAAAATAATTATTAATATTGTAAATGACAATCTTTAAATTGAGTAACATTAAAATCTTATATTTTTTTATAATTTTAGTATTCCCACTTTTTATAATAGATTAAAAAGGCTAAAGATAGCCTTTAGTCAATTTTTAAACTTTATGAAAGTAGCATATAGATGTTGATGTTGGATATCAAACTCTTTGAGTGGCCATTCTGATCTAAAAAAAAAAAGAAAGAAAGAAAGAAAGCATTAAAATAAGCAGATTTGGAGGAGAATAAGATAAGGAAGGCCACAGTTTCTACCTGAAACAAAAACTAAGTTGTTTCTTCAAATAACTAATGTCTAGTTCCTAAGTAGCATCTTTAAAACTTTATATAAACTTTGTACTCTACCTGGTCACAGTGGTTTACTCTTGTAATCCCTGCTACTTGGAAGCTGGAGGCAGAGACAGAGAATGGCAAGTTTTAAGCCGGCCTGAGCACATAGACCTTGTATTTAAAAACATAAAAAAAAAAAAAAAGAAAAGAAAGTAAAAGAAAAAAGACTAACTTTAAATAATTTAATAGTATTATTTTGTCTTTTTCCTTGTTGATGACATATTTTTTCTTTATAAAAAATATTTTCTACTCATGACATATATCTACTTCTTAATCCAAGCATACGATAGCAAGTAATCTATTGTCTGTGACTTCAATGATCTTGAAGTCTGTAGAGGATTACAGATGTGCAATACATAATTACTGTGTGTGTGTATGTGTGTGTATTTACGTATTATATAAGTATGCATAAGCATAAGACAAAAAAATTACAGTTATATAACTATGTAGTTGCTAATACAAAAAAAAAGTACCCGGAATCATAAAATATTGTCTTGAGTTAATAATAGGCATGCATGTTGAGCAAAGAAAAGAATGGCTAATTCCTAAGGATTCTGGAAAGTTTTCATCAAAGAGGTGCTTGAATTGAATCACAAGAAAATGAATAAGAGCTCATGAGGTGGGTGGGGTGGAAGACTAGCACATTCCAATGGGAGTAACTAGGTTAAGACTTAGATTGAAGGACTAAATCAGAGGTAATAAATGGGTTCTTTGTGTGCATTGTTCCAAACACTAGGCATTTACATGCAAATAAATCACATGTGGTTTCTGCCCTACAATGCAGTGGGAATAAAGAGAAAGTTTGAAGGTAGACTAAAATATTGCATTGGGAAGGTGGTGAGTCTTATATTACAGATACTTAGGAAATAATAGCATCGACAGAAAAATTTAACATTTTGGGATTAGATTAAATAGTCAAGGGAGTTTGAAAGGAATAGGATAAAGAAGTGGACAAAGGACAGAACACCCTGGATTCCTCACTGTTTGATACTTGATGAGTTTAGTGTTGCAATAACTCTTCTACTGAGTCCTGAGAACAGAGACTGTTTGCCAAAATCCTCATAATAGTATATTATTGAAATCCATTATTCCAAATTATACCTTAGAATATACTAAAAGCTCTCCATTTAATATAAAATTATATTCTTTCTGCAAACCACATTATGGCCCATTTGGGCTCTTAGTATCTTTCCTCCAAAACACATAATCTGTCTATATTATAATGTAAAGAAGGTGTATTTTCCAATATACCATTATTTCCTTCATGTTTTGAATTATATCAATGAGTAAGAAACTTGCATTAATCTAGTATATGGATCACATATCCCTCAGGTTTATTTATACAACTCTAATTTACTGAACAACTTTCCATAGAAGTTTCACAATTTCCCTTTCTCCAAGAACGACCTGAATCTGTCATGTATTTGGAAAGGCATCATGGGTAGTGATCTTCGAATGATTCTGGATTTATTTATTTACTTACTTCTGGAAGTCAAGTAAATCACCTTTGCTTTAAAAGGATTTCCCATTCTTATTTTCATCTCTAACCAGCAAGGTAGTAGTGTTTTGTCATTTGTTTTGTTTTGTATGAAGACACCCTAAGTTGTATAGATTCATGAAAGCAGGTTACCCAGATACCCTGTTTAACTTACATATACAATCAGCATTGTCCATGTTTAGAGCAGCACCTCAAATATAGTAAGTTGAATATTTGTTGAATGAATACACGAGTATTTTTCTTCAATTATGGATCCTGTCTTTCTATGTGTTATATTCTCTAAATGAACATGTGAATCTCTCTTCTTAGTCATGTTATTTCATTGTATCTCCACCAACAGGCCAGGTGTTTGGGAATAAGACAGGCTGGATCAGTCAGAACCCCTTTACATGAGTGGATTGTAGCTAAGAGTGTTCAGTTTCTGTAGGAGTTAGTTTCTTATTCACTTGGGTACCAGAACACAGCCTTCTTTTGTCTTGTGGTTTGAATGTCAGAGAGGATGTGCAAACAAGAGAATGGAGCCAGAACTCTGAAACAGACACAAAGAGCTGAAAAAGAGAGCTATTTACCCAAATACTGATGTAGGAGCCATTCATTTCCAAGGTCTAGTGTGCTTCTGAAGACAGGTTGGGTTCAGTCATTCCAGCCATAAAATGCTCCTGCAACTTCATGGTAATTTTACAATCTCTCCCTTTCCCTAATAAGCTGGACAGGATTGTTTCCTCTAGTATAACTAAAATGTCCCATCTAGTACACCTCCCAAGATCTCAAGAAAGCAGCAAAAGTAGGCCTTTGAAATTGGACTGAAGATACATCCATAAATAAAGCCTTAAAAAATCCCTCTAATGATTTGTTAGATACTTTGTTACAATGATTTGTTAGATACTCTTAATCTTTGTTAGATACTCTGTTTTGTCAAAATAAGTTTAAAGGCATTATTTTCAAGATACTTTTATTGTAACAATCTTGATGCTCTTTTAACCAGTTTTGTTTTTTCAGTATTCAGTTTTTACATTTCCTTTTGGAAAAGATTGACTATGTTAACATTCAACCCCCCAAGATACCACATAGTTGGCTAGAAAAAGGGCCTAAAACTTATTTACTGTGTGCTTTATCATGATCACAAGGTTAAGACATATAATAGAAAGCTGCAAGTCTTAAAAATCACAGACTTTGTGCTATTGTCTTACACTAGTGAACTCTCTAGAGCAAGGCAAAATGTAGCACATAATGGGAGTGAATTATTAGACCTTTTACCTTCATTAAAATTCTTGGAGTCTTTTATTCTTTGACACCACATGGGTCTTCTGTGCTACTGCTGACATTCAATAACTCAGTGCTTCTAGAAAGGTGACAGAGCCACCAGCTTTTGTACCTTAAATTCATTTTCTCTATGTATCTACGTTAAGCAAATAACTATCAATTGCCAACTATATAAAACACAGTGTGGTATGTATGTAGGGTATATATAAGGACTATTAATACCTTTCCTTACCCATGGCTATCATAGGTAGTAATTTTTAATCTATGACTTGATTTTAATTTTACATAGATTGTTTTGGAAATAGTATATATTAGGGTTATGAAATGATAAGTTTAGAAATTGGTATATGTATGTGGAATAGTAACAACATAAATTTATTGGATCTCAGTATGCTGTAGTTCAAAAGCCTTAAAGTTTACTAGTTATACATGTCTTTTATAAATAAAGAAAAGAATGTTTTAAGATATATTTTAAAATAGCACCACTATATTTTATTGTTGATAGAGAAAGGCAATAACTTTGAGAAAGAAAATATAGTTTTTAAGGGAAAATGATAAATATGATATCTTCTCTCAGATAATAAATAACAAG